TGGCTCGATGAAGATGATGAGACCCGCTTGACGGTGGTGATGGTGGAGCGGCGGTGATGTTTGTGGTGTTGGTGTGGCTACAGACCAATGTACCGACCAGGCAAGACCAAGCGAGGAGGGCGCGGCTGTTGTTCCTTTCGGCGACAAAGCGAGTCGGGTTGTTGCTGGCTGGCTGGCTGGAGGCACTTCATCCTGTTTGTTTGTTTGTGTTCCTGTCGACAACGAGGGCTCGAAGAGATTGTTGACGAACATCTTCCACGGAAGCGCTGCTTTGCGGATAACCTCTGTAAGGTTTTGCGAATCGTCCAATGGCTGAGTCGCAAAACAACAACACACAAAAAACAAAGGAAAAAAAAAGCAGCGCGTTGAGTTGTCGTCCATTTTGTCGTCGTCTCTCTTCCAGCCACTCACGAGCACGTCACAACAGGCCACAAGGAGAAAAGACGACGCGCCGCCATGTCCGGCGGAGAGAAGAGAGCGAGGGAGGAGGTGGAGGCGTTGCTGGCGCAGACGAAGCTGCCTGCAAAGAAGGAGAAACGGGTGAAGGACCAGATTAGGGCCATCGCCAACAACACATGTGGGGAGATAGCAGAGTGAGTGCAAAGGCAACCAAAACGACGTGTTGGAACATGCATGCATGTGTTGGACAGAAGGACACTTCGACACTTCTTGTGATTGTGCTTATTCTTCCCCCCTCTCTCTGCTTGGCTTGTCCTTGTGTTGCCATGGGCGTGGTGTGGCTTGCTGTTGGGTGTTCACATGTGCGTGTCCTGTCCCCTCGCACCGCCTGGACACACTGTGTGTGTTTGTGGCAGGTTGGGACTGGCACCCTCATGTTTTTGCTCTGTGTATCCTCAGTCTTCTTGCTCATTTCATGACACACACCATTTGGAATTACAGCTTGGATGATGATGGCCTCGGCGACATTGGGGCGCGTGCGGTGGCCGAGGCGCTCAAGGACAACACCTGCCTCAAAACGCTCTTGTGCGTGGTGATGATGAATCTGCTTCGTGTGACATGCATGGTTGACTGGGGTGGCGGTGTTGCATGTTGCACCCCTTTCTCCTCCCCTGCTTGCGCATGTTTGGACGTGTGTTCACCGTCGCTCCCTGCGGTTCTTGTGTGCCTGCACAGCCTGCACAACAACTCCATCGGCGATGAGGGCGCGGTGACGTTGGCGGAGATGCTGAAGCACAACACGACCCTCGAAAGACTCGAGTGCGTGTGTACACGCACACACGCACACACATGTATGCTGCGTCACTGCTGCTGCACCTTTATCACGTGCACATGTGCCCATGTGTGGATTGATGACTGTGTTGCCACCCACAACAATCATCATCACGCACTCACTCACTCTTTCTCACCCATGTGGCATCATCCCCCTGTGTGGCATCCACCATACCGTCTTGACAGCCTGAGTGAGAACTCCATCGGCCCTGAGGGCGCCGTGGCGTTGGCGGAGATGCTGAAGCACAACACGACCCTCACAGCACTCGAGTGAGTGGAAGCTCCTCTTTGCAATGTGTGTCTTTAGGCGCTTCTTCTGCAGTACACATGTGCAGGTTGAGGCACCGCAAGCCACCCACGATGTCTGTGCGACTTGCTTGTTTGACTAACCAACAAATGCTTCCATCCTTCACCTGTGCCACAAGTGCTGCCACATCCTGTGCAATTTGCATTTGCCCCCTTTGCTTCCGCCATTGTGCCTTAAAAGTCGTAGGACCTGATGTGCGAGCGAGTACGCGTGCACGTGATCCATCTGCAACCCACTTTTATCCATGACACTGACACGTGTTGCTTGCCCACCCGTTCCCCTGCTCTTCCAACATGCATTTCTTGCCACTTGCAGCTTGTATAACAACTCCATCACCCCGGTTGGCGGTGCGGCGCTGGGTGCCGCACTGGACCAGAACCGCACCATGTCTCGGCTTGAGTACGTCAATTGCGTTGCGCCTGCCTCATGCGCCTGTGTCCTGTTGTAGATTTGTGTGACCAAACGCCACTCTTTTGAGTGCACGCTACACTGTGTGTTCCTCTCTGCTTGCTTGCATTTCTCCACAACCCTAACCACCAACCCTCCTGACCCACGCACCGCACTTGCTGCTTGTTCCCAACCACACGCTACCACCACGTGTCCTCGTTTAGGATCAAATACAACTCCACCGCCACTGCCCGCGCCTTTGGTGCCGCGCTGCCCGTCAACCGAGAACTCGACACATACTGGTCAGTCAATGCGTGCTTCCACTCTAGTCATTTGCTCCCTGCTTTCTCTCGACCCTTCGCCTCACACACACATGCTGCGTGATGCTTGCGTCCAATGTCGCGTGGGATCACAGGTTTGGCGACGGTGAGGGCAGGGCCGCCTTTAACGAAGCACGCGCGGAGAAGAAGCGGCAGCATGAGCAACTGTTTGCCGCCTGCAGGGATGGCGACGCTCCAGCTGTCACGTCCCTCATCGAACAGGACAATGCAGACATCAACCAACAGGACAAGCAGGTATGTTCATCATGTGTGTGTCTGGGTGTGTTTGTTGTGAACGGCGCTCGCTCATGGTTGCACCGGCCGTGTGCTCGTTTCCAACAGATCCTCACCACACGTGCCATGCCCCTTGCTTCCCCCACCCAACCACAGGGCGACACGCCGCTACATGTTGCCTGCAGGCACAACCAACCCGCCATTGTGAAGCTGCTCCTCGAGAAGGGCGCAGACGCTTCCATCAAGAACAAGAAGGTGTGCTTCGCGTCGTGTGGCTGTTTCTGAAGACGTGACACAACTGCTTCTTTGCTTTGCGCTGTGTCCTCCCCTCTCCCTGCTTCCCTCCTTCCTCAACTCATGCGCTTTACCTTTCCAACACACGCAGGGAGAGACGCCCTACGATGTGGCACAAGCCAACGGCCACGCTGCCATCACCAGCATCCAAGGGCTGAAGCCAGGCGGCAAGCCTTCGGAGCAACCACAACAGCAACAGCAACCGCAACAAGAGCCACCTGCGCCCACTCCTGCCGCCGGACCGAAGCAAGAAGAACAAGCAGCGCAAGACGTGAGTGATTTGACAAGTGCTTGCCAGCAACGCACAAGCAAATGCATCACGTCACCCATACCATTCCTTCATCACGCTGTCCGTGGTCTCGTATCAAGCATAATCATGATGTCTCACACAACCACCACCACCACCACCACCACCAGCCCGAGCAGGCGCGCAGGGAGCGCCTCCAGCAGCACATGCGGGAGATCATTGCGCGCTTCAACGCGACCATGGCTAGCAGGGCCAAGCTCATCTTCATAGGCCAAGGGCGCGCCGGCAAAACCAGCACGTTTCACTCGCTCATGGGTCACATGTTCAACAAGCACGAGCACTCCACGCATGGCGTTGCCTCAACCGACCTCACCGTCATTGTCGAATCAATGGACGTTCACGACTGGCAGGTGTGTACCCTTGTCTGGTGCGAGCATGTGATGTGTGCGACGCATGGGTGTGAAGAGAGGTGGTGGTTGACACGATCATCTCCTCGCAGAAGCGTTCACACACACACACACACACACACACACACACACACACACACACACACACACACACACACACACAACCTTTGCAGGAGCTGGATGCGGAGATCTCGGAGTTGATGCGCAGCCTCTGCGGCACGGCGCTGGCGCAGGAATCCGGCGTGGACTTACAAATGAAGCAGGCGATGATGAAGGTAAAGGCAGACCTGAAGAGCCGCATCACCCAACACCATCAGCAACAACGGCAGCAGGAAGCCGAGAAGGCAGAGAAAGCAACGGCTGCCAAGCAGAAGCAGAAGCAGTTACAGAATGCAAAGGAGACGCGGCCACGGCCATCCTCCCGCACGTCATCATCGACCGTCCCAAAGCCCAGCAAGACGTCTCAGATGTCAGCATCTGCGCCCACGAAGCAGGCCACCCTAAACCCTTCCAGCCAAAGTGATGCTGCTGCGCGTGACAACAGCAGCAGCACCACGCCCGGCATGTCTGCTGAGGAAATGGAGAAAGCGATCAAGGAGTTCAACATGGATGCCGTCATGGGCGAGGGCAAAGCGCGGGTCACGTTCAAGATCTTTGACCTGGGTGGCCAGTCCACCTTCTACATCTTCCACCCTTTCTTCCTCACAAAGTGGGTCACTGTGTGTGTGTGTGTGTGTGTGTGTGTGTGTGTGTGTGTGTGCGTGCGTGTGTGTGTGTGTGTGTGTGTGTGTGTGTGTGTGTGCCTGTGTGTGTGCGTTTGTCTGCTTGCAGTCCCTCCACCACCTCTCATTCATTCACCTCTCCCTTCATCACCCCACCCACCCAACAGGTACGCGGTGTACCTGCTGGTGTTCTCGATGGAGGACCTGTTGCACCAAGATGAGAGCCATCGGGCAGAGGCGTGGGAATTTATGGAGCACTGGCTCTCCTCCCTCCACCTCCACGCCAAGGGCGCACCCGTCCTCATCGTCGGCACCTTCGCTGATGTGGTCAGTCAGCGGAAGCAACATGAGCAGATCTCACGCGACATCCACAGTCGCCTGCGCCACAACCCAGCCTTTCCTGGTGTCATTCACAACGACAAGCATGGCCTGTGGTTCTGGCCCGTCGACAACACCAAGTCCATTCACGATCCCATGATCCAGGACCTGCGCCAGACCATCTCCTCCACAGCACTGGCGCAGGAGTACGTGAGCCAGGAGGTAGCTGTGCCATACCTCCATCTCTATGACAAGCTCAACGCCATCGCCCGCGACGAGAAGCGACCGCTGCTCACCTTTGACGAGGTGGTGGCGATTGCGCGCACCTGTGGGCTGCGCACACGTGAGGAGACGAAAGCCTGCCTTCAGTTCCTGCACCTCTACTCCATGGTGCTGTACTTTGACAGCGTGCCGGGCATGGAGGACTATGTGATCCTGAGTCCGCAGTGGGCGGTGGACACGATGACGCGCGTTATCCGAAACTTTGATCTGCATCACGACGTGCGTGATGGTGAGGCGAGGGCCGTTGGCGCCAACGTGTGGGACGACCTCGTTGACCGCGGTATCCTGCACCGTCGTCTGCTGGAGGTGTTGTGGAAGGATTTGGAAGGTGGCACGATTGAGCCCTTCCTCCAACTCATGATGGAGTACGGGTTGTGTATCCAGTACACGGCGCCAATGGTGCTGCTGACCGGTCCTCAACAGCAACAACAACACCACCAACAGTACCTCGTCCCAGCAATCCTGCCGATGACCTTGGAGGATGAACAGGCGTCATCAGTCTCGCTGAGCACGGCAGCAGCACAGCAAGCCAATCCGTATGTTGGATATGAGGAGAAGACGGCCTACGTCGCCTTCAGCCTGACGCAGTTCAAGAGGGGTGTGAGCGTCAAGATTGCAGACACGCAGCAAGCCTCCTTCCTGCCAGAGGGCCTGTTCCCAATGGTGTTGGCACGCGTGATGGCACACATGCAGCACGGTGCAACGGAACCGCCCATGTTGAGCCGCACAGACGCCGTGATCTTCATGGATGCTGCTGAGATCGAGATGCAGCTCGTGCCGGCTGTCGGCGGCATCAAGATCAAGGTCATGGCTGCACGTCCTCGCACGCTGCTGCACATGCTGTACGACACCATCACAACAGCTGTCACGCAGCGCTACCCCGAGCTCAAGGCCACGTTGCTGCTGCCATTCAGTGACACGAGACTGCTGTTCTTCGAGGACGTGCACACCCACCACATGAACAAGAAAGCGCTTCGCGTTGGCCGCTCACAGCTGCTGTCACCAGGGGATCTGGTCGCCAAATATGGTCCACTCTTGCCAGTTATGGGTCAGCAGGACAAATATGATGCCTTCATCAGTTACAGGTGGGACATGTGTGTGTGTGTGTATGTGTGTGTGTGTGTGTGCATGAATGTCCGGTGCGAACTGGGTGTCTTTCCTTCCCTCTCTCTTCCTTTCTTATTTCGACACTGACCACCACGTCACAGGCAACGCGGCAACCGGGGTTTGGTGATGACATTGTACCCAAAGTTGGAGCAGCACGGACTGGTAACCTTTGTGGACGCCAACAACTTGGAGACAGGCGTCAACTTCAAGCACGCGTGCATGACAGCCCTGCACAACAGTACTGTCGCCTGTCCCGTCGTTTCCGTGGGTGCCATCCATCAGATGCGCTCGCTCGGCCACACTGACACGTGCGACAACGTCTTGTTGGAGTGGATGGCGATGCTAGAGCTGCAGCAGATTGCTCGCCAGCATCCAGACAAGATCCACCTCCGCCGCATCGTTCCGCTCTTCATTGGCAGTGGCTGGCACGACAGCAGTCACCATGTTATGAGCAGGGCAGAGGTGAGCGAGTACGACTCGTTTGACCGCCTGAAGCGGCTGGCAACGAAGCTGCCGGATGTTGTGAGTGAGGAGATGGCAGCAGAGCTCGACCAGTTCTTTTCGCAAGTGCTGCACCTGCCACCGCCCCAGCAGCACAAGAGCGTGCGCAAAGTGGTGCTGTCTCTGTTTGACATTGACGCAGTGATTGCGATGGATGCCGGCGTGGACCACACGTCGCAGCTGCACGACATTGCGGAGAAGGTGCGCCAGGTCGCCGTCTCCGCCAGGAGCAAGGAGCAAGCAGCGCAGGGACCAACAACTGCACGTCGTTCCACGCAGGTATGGCTTTGTGTGTGTGTGTGTGTGTGTGTGTGTGTGTGTGTGTGTGTGTGTGTGTGTGTGCGGGTGTATGTGTGTGGGTGTGTGTGGTTGTGCGCTTGTCTATGTGTGGCTGTGTGTTCGTGAGTGGTTGTTTTCGTACATGCAGCAGTCAGACTCCTTCTCCCTTCCACTTGACGCGTGCTGTGCCTCACCCAACGCGACTGACTTGTGTGTCATACAGTCGTCCTTCTCCTTCTCCTCCTCCGAAACTCCTGGCAGGCTGCTGCCTGCCACTCCATCGTCCTCGTCCTCAAGCTCATTTGAGCCCAAGCTGATTCAATGGCTCAACCGCCACTCGCTGCTGCCGCACGTCGAATCTGTGCTGATGGAGCACGGCATTGACACGTTGGAGGTGCTGGCGGCGCTGGTCCAGGAGGGAGAGCTGACGATGCAAACCCTAAAGGCGGCGAGTGTGCCGATGGGTCCCGCCATGAAGCTGATTCGGGAGGCAAAGAAGTGTGACGTGGACAGTTCTGTGTAGTGTGACGCGTTATCGGCCCTGTTACCTCTCATGTTTGCCGTTGTTGTTCTGCGCTGAGTTACTTCTGCCCTTCCGTCTTTACGCCTTTCAATCATTCCATGTGCCCGACTGTCGTAGACCACCGCTTGCAGCGCTTCTGTCCCCTGTTTCTCCTCCTCTCACTCCTTGCCGACGTGGCGCCAAGGCGTGCTTCTTGTTGCTCTGCACCTTCCGTGCTTTCGTTGCCCCTCCTGTGTCATGCCGCCACTTGTTGCTGCACCTTTGTTCCACAATACATCCTCCTTCGATTCAGAATCCACATGCGCATCACCCACCGCACATGGGTTATCCGCACCATCCACCCACATACCACCACACGCCCACATACCTTTGCCCGCGCAGCCTGCCTTTGAATGTGAATGTGTATTGAATACTTGGACATGACACGTCAACAAAGCAAATGAACAACCCTTCCACTATTCAACACAACTTCATCCCCCAGCCCACCCTGCTCACACTCATCCACGTCAGGCCACCGCTGATGGTAGTTTGTGAAGAAGCAGTTGCGCAGCACAACGCAGCCAACGTCCGACAGCCCGTGCATGTTGTCAAAGGCGCAACTTTGCACAACCAGCCGCTGAATGCCTTGAAAGCAATCAAATTCCAAGATGACACACTTGTAAAGGTGGCATTTGAACACTTCTTTACAGCCTGTGATCGACAGGTTGCCAGTACCATCTGACACAACAGACTAGGAGTCAATGACCGGCACACTTTGGGCCATCTCGTCAAGCATTAGCGTGCCAATATGTAAATGCAAAGCCAATCCGCCCACAACAACTGTGTAGCGAGGTCATCGGGCAGCGCGCAATGCCTTGTTCGAGCGTGCAAGGCATGAAGCGAAGGTAATGTCCGTCAGAAGCAGGTGGGTACCGTGCATTGGGTACTGGAATCGCCCGCGGAGAGTCAACGACTGCACCGCCGGCCCAATCCACTCGCGGTGAGAGTGAAGCTCGCCTTTGACAAGGCCATGCAGCTCGTTCACACAAGGCGGTACCGGTGTGTTCACTTGAACGATGCCACGGACGCGCGACCCATTCGCAGCACTCACATTCCGCATGTACGAGCGTGACAACACTGCTTGTGGGTGAGCACAAAGCATCGCGACAGGCGTTTCATCAACGATCACGGCAGCCAATGCGGGTCAAGCAAGCAACCACATGCCTCGTTGTGAAGCATGTGTAGCTGTGTTCCAGTACACGCGAACACCGTCCAAGCAACTCCTCCACCCCGCTCTCCCCGATCTCTTGTCCTCATGTCCTCCTCGTCTTGTACTTCAATGGGAACGACCTTCTATTGAAACTTGAACAACACAACTACAATGCCAGTAACACAGGCAAGCAAGCAAGAAAGTAACACGACCAACTGAAAGCAACAATCATCTACACACTCCCAAAAGTCACACACACACCAAACCCACACAACCCACACAACCCACAACCCCTCCCCCCCCCCACCACACACATCACTGCGGCAGTTGGTGCAGCCAGACGTAGAGCGGCACGACGTGACGCAGGAGCAGCGAGTCTGGCAGCTGCAGCTGTTGCTGCGGGTTCGCCAGGTCGTCCATGACAAACACGGGCTCCTCAATCAGGCTGCCCCAGAAGTCGGCAAGCGGCATGTCACCCATGTGCTGGTACTGCGCGTAGTGGGTGATGTAGAACCGCCGTAGCGTGTGCATAACCGCGGCAGGAACAAACCGCTCGGCCCGCTGCGCCTCCCCCAGGTCGCGGACAATGGCGCCATCGGCCTCATCCTCCAGCGGCGTGTGCCCGCGCGACTCCTGGAAGATGAGTTGCTCGTACACCAGCTCAAAGAGCGCAAAGAGCTGCCCGACAGCCAGGTCGTGGCACCCGCACGACTGCAGCAGCGCCAGCGACGTGGCATCCACCGGCCGCGCCATCAGCGCAAACTCGGCCAGCGTCGTCCTGCACAGCAAGTTGCCCACGCCAGACGCGTCGCCGCCCATGCCAAGCAGGTGGTCGTTGAGCTGCGACATGAGCACCTCCAGCTTGCTGCGCAGGTCGTGGATGGACGGCTGGAAGTTGGACGACTCAATCATGGCCCGCACCCGCTCGGGGGTGATGGAGCGGCAGTACTGCTTGTGCGCCGTGAACAGCCGGTCGCACAGCTCAAGGAAGGGCACGCCTTGCTCCTGCCCAAACAGGAACCCGCACTTGGCCGGGTCAACACGCTCAAACTTCACCTTGCCGACAAACGTGTGCTGCAGCACCATTGTCCTCACGGCCTGCCAGTTGACAATCGTGCGCCGTCCG